TCAAAAATGTTCAAATAGCACTTTATTTCTGGGCATAAATCTTAATTCCTCTGCTGGAATTTTAAGATCTTAAAAAAATCTAACTTCATTCTCCCAATTCATCTTAACTATGTATTGACCCAAATAATGACACTTTTAATTTAATAATAGAAATAATATTTTTCTTATGCCTTTTGTCCTTATCATGGGTACCTAATTACACTAAGAGAGCAAACTTTTTTTTTTTGTCTATGTGAAGTTGAGCTCCATCTCTAAAATGTTTTTAAATCCACCATCATCTCAATTCCCCCAATATTTATCCCATGGTACCATACTATGTATGTATCTTACTCTGTAGCCTCATTAGCTCCTTAGGGGCAGAGACTGTGTCTTAGTCATTTTAAATCAATGTCTAATTCATGGTTGTTCTTTTTAAAAATGTTTAAGAAAATGAGTAAGAAGCACAAAATATTCTTTGCTAATCAACTTAAAACTACTTAATGTTCCTAAATTTACTAATTAACTTAAAACACCATAAATCTTCCAAGCAGCAAAGAAGTGACAAATCTTATAAAACAGAAGTGAAATAGCCCACAGTGAATAATTAATGATAGTAAGCAGTGAAAAATTCAGAATATCATAACTTTCTTTGGTCAACCTAGAGTTGGAAGTATGGCTGGCTGTCCCCTATGCTGTAGTTGTCTATTAGGTCCCATCCCCCCCCCCTTTTTAAAAACACACACGCGCATATAAAAATGGAACTGCGCTGTACCATTATTCTCTCTTAACTTCTGTTTGTTTAAATGTCCTATTTTCTCTGAAGTCTGTTTTGGAAAACTATAATTTCAGAGAAAATTAACCATTTTTCTCCAGGTTTTCTAATTTATCTGATAGAATTGTACAAGGTAGTACCTTAAGATTCCTTTTCCCCCCAGTATTTGTGGTTATCTCTTCAATATGTTTTTATATTTTATTTTTTTATTAGGTTGACTATTTTATTGTTAATGCCCCCCCCCCCCCCCCAAGAACATGCTTTTGGACATATTTTATTCTTTTTGGTATTACATTTATTAATTTCATTATTTGTTAATCCCTTCTGCTTTCCTTAAATTCATAGTTTGTTCATTCCTTAACTTCTTGAGTTTGATTCCTAATTTATTTTTATTCTTTCTTGCTTAATGTTTCAAGTTGACACAGAACCTAGAGATAGAACCTAGAGACGGAACATGGCAAAAGATCCTGGACAGAAACTGGCAAGAGAACTTAGAGACAGAACCTAGCGAGAGAACCTGGCTACAGAACCTGGATAGAACATGGCAAGAGAACCTGACTAGAACCTGGTGACTGAACCTGGCTGGAGAACCTAGTGAGGGAACTTGGCTACAGAACCTGCCTGGAGAACCTGGAGAACCTAGCAAGAGAACATGGCAACAGAACTTGGCTGGAGATTGTGGCTAGAGATCCTGGCAAGGCTGCTGATCAACTGAACACTGTCTCCGAGTCATGCCTTCTTCACCGACTCCGTCCACACCTTTGGGGACCCCTGGACCTGCTGGGGTTGGACACCAGCAACACAGTATAGTCTTTGATAGAAAACTATGCATGTGTGTTTCTATTTAAAAATATATAAAGTGTACTTCTAAAAAAAAATATTTCAAGTTAATAAGCTTTCTCTGAGCCATAGTCCAAAACCTCTGATATAGTGTTTTAAATAATTATTTTCTAAATAGTGTTCTGAAATTTTGACTTTGCTCTGATTCAAAAATTAAGATATTAACATACCGTTTTCAGGTGGTGGGGGCTTTGTTTTTTGATTTTGAAATCTACTTCTAGATATATTGCATGAAAATCAAATAATACTATTCTTTGAATATTTACATTTGAATAGGTATATATTCGTATGACTGGTTATTTGGTATAGTGTGATTTGTTCTCTTCCACTTTTAACTGCCCTTCAATTCATTTAATGTGTTTTCCCTTGAATTAAATAAATCTTATCAGATCACAATCCCTTGACTGTCTTCTGAGAAGGTGCCTGGATATCCCAATTGTAGATCTCAAAAGAGCCAGCAAAAACCATTCTAGTGGTATCCCTTCCTGCATGCGCCCCTGCTCCATCTCCATTACTTTTGGAAAAATTTCTACCTATTTTGTAGGTCTGAACTCTCTTTTATTATGAAGGACAGAGTATGCTTTATTGTTCACCAGTTTTCTCGTAGCTTTTGGATGACTCCCAAGAAGGGGAAAATGCTGGCTTTATAACACAATATTCAAAATAGAAAGTTGCTGTTTAAGTTTGTGGTAACGTTTTCTCAGCACCACCCCTTTTCTGCTCAGGCAATAAATAGCCAAAGAAACACTTAACATTACCCTATCTCCATGAAATGAAAGTAAAAGTCCCCATGCTTCCCAGATGAGACAATGCTGACAGTGTATGCAGGTATGAATTCTTTTCTGCACATAACTGTATATAAACATACACAGTATATACATTATATGAGAGAGACATTGATCGGCTGCCTCCTGCACATCCCCTATGAGAATTTATACAAATGGATCACTCCATGCTTCCTTTTAAAAAATTTAATATGTTCTACATAATTCCCCACAAAAATACATTTATTCAACAAATAATAAGAGTACTTGCTATGTGCCTAGTACAGTGTAGGTAGTTTGAAATTATCAGTCAACAAAACTGATAAAATAACTTGTTTCATGGAGCATCTTCCTGCTAGGTGAGTTTGAGAAAAATTAAGTATAGTTTCTGGCACAAAATAAGCCATTTACTAAATATGAAAATGTAAATATTTTCTATGAATAATTTGAAGAGAATCTACCACAAACATAGTATTGTATTAAATTTGAGATGACAATATTATATTTGGAAACATGTTACAATTACTTAATTCTATCCCCAACTGGGCAATTTCAAGGAAAATAACCAGAACGATACACTAATAATGTTTTTACGTTGTACATTATCTGGAAATTCCTACTTGTTACCATGATCCAGAGCTGCTAACATAGGGGAAAAGAGGTTCAGTGTTTGTGATCAAAAATGAAACCAAGAAATCAACCTTTAGGAATATATCCTTAATATTTATTTTTTTGCATATTAGTTGGACAATGAGAAAGATTCCAAAATAAGATATGAAAATAGATCTCCTAATAAAGTAGCTACACCCTAATACAGAGTGTGAAAGCTAATATTCCATTTAGGGTAATTTTCTTTATAGGAGGCAGCCTTGAAGTGAACACAGGTAGCTTGTATAGACCAATCTTTTGATTATCACTCCTCTGAAAAAGAAGTGAGGCAAATGTTATTACTAGTGACCAATAATATAATAAATGTAAAATTAGTTATGTGTTTTAAATTTCTTACCTTCTTCATGGAACCATAAGTTTAGTGAGTATGTCTTCTTGAACTTCACCCACAAGCAAATTGGGCGCTGACAGCTTTAACTATCACATCACACCATGATTTCTAAAATATTGTGCAAAAGCTACACACTGAACTAATAGAAACTTGCATGTTATGTATTAAATATTATGCACTATTTTATATGATATTAAATATTAAAAAGATAAAATAAGCATTTATCAGAAAAATTAAATAGATAAAGCTAAATCTTATCCTCTGGGTGACTCCCAGAAGAGGCTGCATGTTCAATTCCCAGTCAGGGCACATGCCCTGGTTGCAGGCTGGATCTCCAGAAGGGGATGTGCAGGAGGCAGCCAATTCATGTTTCTCTCTCACTGACGTTTCTATCTCTCTCTCTCCCTAAAATCAATAAAAACATATTTTTAAAAACATATAATAATGTATTTTACGGGATTTTATATCACTGCCAATATAACTTTAAAAATATACCTTAATGGATTAAGCCATTAATAAGTTAAATCTTTAGACTTTTGAATTAATAAAATAACAACTACTGTTAGTAGACAATTTTTTAAATATGTTTTTGATTTCAGAGAGAGGAAGGGAGAAGGATAGAGAGCTAGAAACGTCAATGATGTAAGAGAATCATTGATCAGCTGCCTCCTGCACATTCCCTACTGGGGACCGAGCTGGCAACCCAATCCCATGACTGGGAATATAACCATGGCCTCCTGGTTCATAGGTCGACACTCAATCACTGAGCCACACCAGCCGGGCTAACGGTAAATAATTTTTAAGCAGTCTTTATTTTTATAACAATTGCTGTAATAGTCAAGCACCTCATCTGTGAGAATTGGTTGGTACAACAATGATCTAACAAAACGTGGTGATAGGTATTAAGGATAGTATTTTTTTAAAAAGATTTTATTTATGAGAATGTCTTCTAAATAAATTACTACCATAGAGCAAAATAATGGCAGTCTTTGTAACTCCTGGTTTACTGTAATTTAATTTTTCCTTTTTAAAAAAGAACTTAAGGAGTTAATGCAGATGCTCACAACCCTCTCACTAAGCCAAAAGGTCATGAGACCAAAACCAAACCAAACAAAATCCCAAATCTTATCAGTACATTAAACAGTCTTTGATTAAAAATTAATAATAAAAAATTAAAACCCCTCGAAAGCAACATTTTTTTTACCTGTAAAATAGCCACTTCATTACGGAGTTGACTTTCCTGTTTTGTGGGAAATCTCATCTTATCAATTACCTTAATAGCCACATCCCTTCCAGTCTTCCTATGTTTTCCTATTTTTAAAACAAGTATAGAAAAGAAGAAGCAAATTGACAGCTCACATGCAATACAAAAACTTTATCTGAAAGTTGTCCACAGACTGAAATTTATATGAATTTACTCTTATGTTTCTTTTCTTTGGCTCATTTGGTTCTTTCTCCTTCATTCACCTTAATTTCGAGAAATAAATTATTTGACCCTAATAAAGGGAGTTTTATTATTTGAAATGGTAGGAAATTTGAATCAACTTGTTTGATGAAAAATAATCTGCCTTATTAAATAAATGATAGTTAACTGGCATTTAGAGACTCCGTCAAGATGGAAACATTGTACCAATGAATTAATTTTATTCTAGGTTCACTGAATCAGCGAGTGATTTAACCACATATTAGGGCAAGCCTGGAGGCTGTAAGGCCAACTAGGAGACTACTGTAATAGTCTTAGCAAGGGATGACAAGGGTTTAACATACCTTTTGTTAAAGCTTATAAAGTACCCTTATGTATATTAAGTTCATATTAACAACCCTGTGAGCTTGCAGATCAGCTTTTATTAGCTCCATTAAACTGATGAAGATACTGAGGCACAGTGAGGTTAAATGAGTTTGCCAATAACCTAAATCACAGAGCAAACAGTAGACAAATGGTCTCATTTGTGTTGGAAAACCAGTAGGACATATACTTCAATAAACAGGCATAACTTCAAACCATTTATTTTTCATACACAAATATGTGCGAGCTACAGAAAGAGATAAAGACTACTGTGAAACTAATTTTCTTATTCTTTCTGTTACTTAATTGTGACAAGACGTAACAGCTGGCAGATGTTTTAAAATTTCACAATGTTTCTATAGTATGTTCTATATGTAAATGGCTATAGTCACTTACCTCCATAAACGATGCCAAACTGGCCTGAACCAAGCACCTCATCTGCAAAGATCTGGTAAACAGTACTGATGTCCTATTTAGGAAAAAGTAAGCAGTAAGTATAACTGACTCTTACAAAGCATTATCAACATCTCTGACTCTTCAAACACTTAAATACATTTTTGTTTTTATGAGATAGGCAACTAATTTTCATAACAATATTTTATGAAACATTGGCTTTGTATGTTCTAGAAAAGTAAGCCAAATTTTCATACTATCACCCTCAATGTGCAAGTATAATGTATTCTCTAAGAAGATCATTGGGAAAAAATGCTTTGAATCAAAAAAAAAAAAAAAAAATCAAAAAAATCTTGCCCTGACTGGTTTGGCTCAGAGGATAGAGCGTCGGCCTGCGGACTGAAGGGTCCCAGGTTTGATTCGGTCAAGGGCATGTACCTGGGTTGCGGGCACATCCCCAGTAGGAGGTGTGCAGGAGGCAGCTGATCGAGGTTTCTCTCTCATCGATGTTTCTAACTATCTCTCTCCCTTCCTCTCTGTAAAAAATCAATAAAATATATTTAAAAAAAATTAAGAACAAAGTTTTACCATTAAAGAGATTTGCTATCTTTAATTTGAACTCTCTCTCTCTCTCTTAAAAGGTTCATATTATTAAGAGTAGGCTAATTTGGAAAGACTGATGAAAAGGAAAGTCTGTAACTCAAAAATCCACTCCTCAATTTTATCCCTGCCCTCCCTCCCATTTCCTTCCTTTCTTTTGCTAGTGCCTGTCTCATGGTAGTTAGTCAAATAATTTAGTCTCCTAGGCCTCAATTTCTTCGTTGGTAAAGTGGGAATAATAACGTCTACCTCACTAAATTTCTGAGTAAATTAAATGGGAAATATACAAAGTGCCAAGATTTCCATTGCCTGATACATAAAAACCTGTACAGCTGACCCTTGAACAATGTGGGGTGAGGGGTGCCAACCCCCATGCAGTCAAAAATCAACATATTACCTTTGACTTCCCAAAACTTAACTATTCCTGGCCCTTTGCATATGAGGATTCAACCAACTACAGAACAAAAATACTGTTTTCACTCTGCAATTGGTTGAATCCATGGATGTGAAACCCGAGAATAAGAAAAACAGGTTAATTTTTACTTACCACATTTTCCTGGATCTGACAATTAGATACGGAGATACTAGTAGACAAATCTTCTGTAAAATATAAGAATAATGCATGAGAAAAGAACAGAATTGTTAGTATATGACTTAAAAATATTAGTTATTTACTAATATGTGAATGCTCACAGTATATTAAATTTAAATCACTGGCTAACTTTCAGTTAATATAATGTAATTACATTTGTTAAAAAAAATTTACACATGCAACACTAATCCAGGAAGAGGAAACTGGTTCATCATATATGATACATCCATGTAAAGGAATATTATCTAAACCTTTGATAGTGTAGAGCCGTAAGTACTAAATCAGAAAGCTATCCATGACATATCATTAAGTGAAAAAAAGGTAAGTTGTAGGATGGCAGCAATTAAATTAAAAACAAACAAAAAATACGATTGCTTCCTGTGAATGAAAGAGCTGGGTTTGGGAAACAAGGATTTTATAGCCTTTATACACTTCTATAACTGTTTGTATTTTTTAAAACATAAAAGGCATATGCATTACTTTAATATAAAAATTGAAAATTAGGTAAATCTATATACTGACATTGAAACACATCTGATATATATTAAATAGTGGATAAAGTTGTAAAAAGAACAGAGAGTATGACCACATTTTTGGTAAAAATAAAAATATGACAATACTAGTGACCCGGTGCACGGATTCGTGCACACTGAAAGGAAATTAATTCGAAGGTGGTCAGCAGGGCAGGACTGGGTGAGACAGATGGACATGCCCTGGAGTCAACCTCCCGGGCTCGAAGGGTGTCTGTGGAGTGAGTGGGGTCCCTCGGCCTGGCCTTGTGGGGATTGGGCAGAAACCGGGGAGTGGGCCGAAACTGGCTCTCCGACATCCCCTGTGGGGTCCCGGAGTGCAAGAGGGCACTCTGCAAAGTTGCTGTCGTACAGGGTGTGGAACGCAAACCCAAATTTATGTAAACAATTAGTATTTTTTAATTTTTGTTGTTGCAAAGCAATACAAGTGAGTTTATTGTATAAAAAGTGTTTTACATTTTTTCCCATACACGCGCAATTAGTGCCGCAGTTTTGGCATATGTTCGAAAAAATACGTCAGCAGCTAAACGGTTAATGAAACAAAAAAGTACAGCATCCACAAAATTCCCAGTTTAAATCAATATGTATTTTGTTTCAAAGGCCTCCACTATCTAACCCCATCCAGTTTTAATTTCTATTGCTTCCCAGGAGAACTCTGCTCCAGATAGGTTGTTAAAGGAACAGCAGCAGCAGCAGCAGCACAGTAATATATCACTAATATGTCAGAAACTGCTAAGTGCATAAAGAGCATTTATTATTCCCACTTCAGAGAAATGTAGAGGCCAAGATCACATTGCTAGTAAGTGGCAGAACTGGAGTTTTGTTGTCACTTTTAACCTCTCCCCAATTCTGCTTTTAGGAACCCTTAACCCTAGGGGGCCTGTCCATGTTTGGGCTTGAGAAGGTCCCTAAGTCCAATTATAGTAACATTTGTGTGCATGTACCTGTATTATATTGGGGGAAAGGTCCATGATTTTCATTCAAATATATTACAGTTCTACCAAAATCCCTCCAAACTTAAGGAGCACTGTGAATACACATCTATTTACCGTCTAATAATCAATATTAGACACCAAACATGTTCATGGACTTTACCCTTATCCCTTTGATCACACTTGTCTCCTCAACTAGAGAATACTACCCCATTCACCTCTTTCATTTAGCCCTGCCTGCCCTAAGATCCAAGCTCAAGGTCCAAATCAGGTTTTTCTACCATGAAGTCTCTATTTACTCTTCCATTCCATATTTGAGTTCCTCAAGTAATGCATTACTCATTTTTGCACTCTACTGCTTTATGTACCATCTAACACTTGTGTACATGTCTTATCTTCTTAAATAGCTTTTAAAATTCCTGGTTTTCTTTTATAATCTAGCTCAGGGCCTAGCATAATGCCAAGAATAGCTACACAAAATACAGTTGATCTGAAAAAAAAACTTAATTTAGAAACAGGCTGATATTTTTCAACTTAAATATACCGTATTTCTCTAATAAGTGAATTATGTTTCCCCATAAATAACATAATGCCAATGGAGGAAAAGTGCCATTATAATATGGCTTTTTGATTAAGTGTTCACTCAAACCTTTATCAAATTTTGTTGGTGCAAAGGACATGTTTCAATAACTTTTTAATATTTCTGCATGTTTTAATGCAGTTAAAAGAAATACAACATTTCTGACTTCAGAGTTGAGTGTGATGTGAATCATAACCCTTTTGCAGTGGTTCTCAACCTCTGGCCCTTTAAATACAGTTCCTCATGTTGTGACCCAACCATAAAATTATTTTTGTTGCTACTTCATAACTGCAATGTTGCTACTTTTTGAATCATAATGTAAATATCTAATATGCAGGATGGTCTTAGGCGACCCCTGTGAAAGGGTCATCAACCACCAAAGGGGTCGCGACCCACAGGTTGAGAACCGCTGCTTTAGAGCCTGCAATATCCCACCATGAAGCAAAATACTAATACCAGTAGTTAATCCAATGAGAATTCATGATGCTAAACACTTCTGTATATCTTACAGGTTCTTCTTCATTTAATACGGACATCCCTAAAAAGAAGGTACTATTATAGAGAGGTACAGTATTTGTCTAAGACCACATAGCAAGGTAGCCAAGCGAGGATTTAAACGTAGGGAGACTGACCCCAGAGCCTAGCTCTAGGGGACTGTATGTATACACTATAACCAGAGTAACTGTATAAAAGAGTTAACTAATGGTATTGGTTACACCAGACAAAGCTTAAAATGAGCATTAAAATATATACAGAAAACATGATCACACGACAAAATACTTAAGAACCAAAAGGGGGAGGGGGAAGCCATCAACAAGCTTATTGCTTACTGTGATCTTTCCCTTGTCCGGGAGAAGTGCAAATACTGGCTTGAGGGGTAACAGGCATGAGAGCCTGGCGAATTGCTTTTTCCCAGCTCTGTGCTACATCAAGTCCAATTCCAGTGGCAGCAAGAACAGGATTGTGGGAGCTGTCCCCATTGTTCTCACCAACAAAGTATACCATAGTATCAGTGATGATTTCAAAACAGTGTGGGTTGCTGCCTTGTGAAATGTTTGTGAAATCTTGTGGCGAAGATATGCGTAGAATTTCTGAAAGTGGAATTTCCTGAAGTAAAAAATCAAGCATTAGAAAATACAAAACTTCTTTGTTTCTATTTTTAGTACACTAAACAATCAGATATGCATTTCTAATAAACGTTATTAAGATGAACACAAGTATGTGGCCCATGGAACACACAGTCAAGTCTTATGACAGTATCTTCCTTGAATGATCTGCATGTCCAGTGAGGCCACAGGCAAAACATGGAGTGTAACTATCAGTGATTCAGGCCTATTGCAAGTCATTAGAATCTAAGGAAAAAGAGAAGTTAGGAAGCCAACCGCCGTTATATTCAATACTTTCCAACTGTCATTAAATCAACTCAACTACTTCTCTACCTGCTGGGGTTTGCAATACAGGATGGGGCAAAATTAGATTTACAGTTGTTCATATGGAAAATAGTACAGTAATTAATAATACAAGAATAAATTCCGTGTTTCACATACTCACAACTGTACGTGAAACCTATTTTTTGCCTCACCTTTATGTCCCCAAAAGGAGTACCAAGCAGAAATAAGAGCAGCAAATTCGAATGTCAGTATAAGTTGTTTAAGCACTCCATTTGGTTCTGTCCATACTGTAACAATCATTTATATTTAGTCCAGTTTATAAGGCAAAAAAAATTATTAAACCCCCCCCACCCAACTAACTTTAAGTCAATTGTTTCCACTCTCTTTCTTACTGATACAACTGCCACACTTACAATCTTGTTATTGTCAGTCAGTGACATGGCAAAATGCAGAGCAAACCCAGCAAAGAATACTATACAAAGTATATGAAGAGACAAAAGAATTGGGACCGTGGGTAAAATGGAAGGTGAGAGAAACACTGACTCAGTACCATGTTGGCCTGTTCTCTACAGGCCACGATCATGTGAGTTTCTAAACAGTCTAAGTCATAAGACCAGAAGTAAAGCAGCAGCAACCCGACAGGCAAACCAAAAACAGAAGCCACAACAGAAAGATACCCTTTGGCAGCAGAACTGTTGTGGGAGGTGACATGGACAGGTGGGGGACAGGCCCTTCAACAAGGAACTGAACAGTGACTTATATAAACTATATTAGGCAGAGTCAGAATAAGTATATTCCAATATAACAATTAATGAGTATTATTTAGATATATTTGGAAAATATATCTTTTAATGTACATATTTTTAAAATGTAAAATCTTTACCTTATAATACTTTGATCCAGATTCATTTTGAAACAATGTTAGACATTTGCTGTCAAGTCTCCAATAATGCCTCTTTCTCTATAAAATAAAGAATATGAAACTGTGAAGTTCAAAAATAATGATTCCTCCAGAGCACTTTTCCTTTTCCTTTCATTGCTATTCATACATTTGTACTATTTAATAGGTTTAAAATTCATGAGGTTCAAAATTCTGAAAACATATAAAAGATGTACAGTAAAACCTCAATAAAACAGACTAATTCAGACAAGGAGTATCTGGTAAAGCCAAAAGTCCATTATATAATAAAGTAGGTTTTCCAAATGCGTATGTTAAAAAATTGACAAATTCGTTTACCTCTTTTTACTTATGTAGACATGTTTGTGTAATTAAAATTAAAAGTATGTACGAAAAGTTTAATTTCACATAAAAGTTTTCTGTATGTATAACTGTAATTTAAAGTTTATACTGAATAGGTCTAGTAAATGCGTGCATTCATCAGTCACCTTGAGTAAACAATGTACACAGCTGGGGCATGGCTTATTGCACATGGGAACATGGGCTGGCACATATTAAAACTGCTGCAGAAAGTCACGCCACAGGACAACGGAACCAATTACAACATGCGATGTGGAGTGATCTCATATTAATTATTTGCTGAACACTGTTTACGAGTGGCAACTCTTGTATTTAAATATGTAGACTATAGTTGTAGATATGTAATATTTATTTATGTTGGTGAAATTGCTACAGTCTTTTTTCCAACATATGGCCTATTCAACTAAAATTTGTTTAAAAAAAAAAGTGAATTAATAACAAAAAATATAACCTGTTAATTTAATTGTATGCAAATTTTGGTTAAAAGTATTTTAAAAGTAATAGGGAGTTACTTTCACAAACGACATATGGACTGGAAATTATGTCTGTTAAATCCAAAGTCTGTTAAGGTCCACGAAATCGAGGTTTACTCTATAGTGAAAAGTATACTCCCACCATCACTCATAGACTGCTCCTACCCCTATGTATATGCAGCAATGTTACCAAGCTTTGGAAATCTTTCGGAGAATTTTATGCATGCACATGCAAATACATGTGCACTACACACACAGATATGTAATTTACCTACAGGCTCAATTTCTAAAGATTGGCTTGCTGGGTCATAAGGTATGTGCACATATAATTTTGCTTAACATTTGACCCAATTTAAAGGCTAATCAGCAACATGAGTACTTGTTTACGCACATCTTCACAAATGCAGTATGTTACCAAACTTTCTGATCTTTGCTACACTGATAAAAACTGGCATTCATTGAAATTTTAAATTGTATTTTTAGATCAAGCTCTTATGTTTGAGTAATTTGTATTTCCTTGTCTGTGAACCCTGTTCATTGGCTTTTCACTTAGGAATACGTATTTAGGGTTCCTCCATGTTTTTCCACGGCTTGGAAGCTCACTGCTTTTTCAGGCTGTGTAGTATTTCATTGTCTGGATGTACTAGTTTACTTATCATTCACCTACTGAAGGTCACTTGATTGCTTCCAAGTTTTGGCAATTATAAATAAAGATACTATAAACATCCATATGCAGGTTTTTATATGGACATAAGTTTTCATCTTAAGGGGCTGTAACATTTTGCATTCCCATAAACAATGAAGTGTTGCTCTTTATCAGGAGTGGGGAATGTCCAGCCTGTGGACCTTATAAAGCCCACCAAATCATTTGGTCTGGTCCTGTCAAGGCATTAGGAGTGAGTTAACTAAATATTTCACCAAATATAGCAGGCTAATTTTTAAGTTGGTAATTTTGTATGGCCTACAAATGATGTTATCAATATCCAAATGGCCCTTGGCAGAAAAACGGTTCCCAACCCCTGCTTTATATCCTCACCAGCATTTGGTGTTATCAGTGTTCTAGATTTTAACCATTCTACTAGGTGTATAGTGGTACCTTGCTATTTTAAGTTTTATTTTTCTGATGACATATAATGTAGAGAACCTTTTCATGTGCTTATTTGCCATCTGTGTACCTTTGTTGGTGAGGTATATGTGAATGTCCTGGGCCCATTTTTTAATCACGTTTTCTTTCTCTTGAGTTTTAAGAGTTTTTTGCATATTTTGGAGAATAGCTGTTTATCATGTATCTCTTTTGCAAATATTTTCTTCTAGTTTGTGGCTTGTCTTTCCATTCTCTTGACATTGTCTTTTATAGAGCAGAAGTTTTTAATTGAAATTAAGTTCAGCTTATCAATTATTTCTTGCATGGGTTATGCATTTGGTGTTTGTTGCAAAGAGTTATGCAAAGTGTCTATCCTTAGACCCTTTCTGAATCTTTACTGCTCCACCAGTTTGTAAGACAGTACCTTAAGCATTCTGCCTTTTACAAATTCTTTACAAGTATCTCATTCTCATTTTGATGTAAAAAGGCACAAAATAAAGCACGTAACAGATGCACTATCATATTTAAATGCTGCGATTACTGACCAAGGCGTCCCTGCTGGTGTAATGGACCATCCATCCTTCCTTCACCATCGTGCTGCTCTTCCTCTTTGTGTGCTTGATGGATTGTACGACCCTCATTAGCGGAATATTACTGCTTGTTGATGGGCTAAAACATATTTAATATTTATGATCAATATTGATAATTTCGATTTTTAAAGTCATATACATAAGCAAGTCCTTTTTAAAGATAATAAGAAGACAAACAATGGCTTGAGAAGAAAATAAAGGTATCCTGTTAGGCTGATACACAGTTGATCTATAAAAGATTATGATAACACTAAAGTCCTCATTATTTGTCATAAATATTTTCCAGAGATCACAAAACATAAGAAAACGAGGAACAGATCAGAAAGAATCCTCTCCAATTGGAAAATCTGGAGCCTGAGAAATGGTCCCATTTGGGATTGCTGTTGAGAAAGCTTCCAGCCGTAGGTAACATGTTAAGTTAGTAAATTCACAACCAGGCAAAAGACAAGTATACCTATACTCAAATTCTCATGGTTCAAAAGTCAAATTTCATTGTTCATGTTGTTGTACTTCTACTAGAAGAAACTGGAAAGAAAATTATTTAAAGGTATTAAGAAAATAAATAATGTAATGACTCAAATTGGTTAACACTGAAACATAGGCTAGTAACAGTGTGGCTGGAAAAAAAGAGCAATTTTGGGGGTGTGTATAAAAAAAACACTGTTTTTGAATTTGAGTCTCAAAGAGTTAAAAAATACTTTCTCTTAAAATTATGAAATATTCATGCTTAAGAAACTAAGTTCTTTCAATAGTCTCTAAATTGGGTAAATATGCCCTAAACGGTTTGGCTCAGTGGCTAGAGCGTCGGCCTGTGGACTCAAGGGTCCCAGGTTCAATTCCGGTCAAGAGCATGTACCTTGGTTGTGGGAACATCCCCAGTGGGGAGTGTGCAGGAGGCAGCTGATCGATGTTTCTCTCTCATCGATGTTTCTAACTCTCTCTCCCTCTCCCTTCCTTTCTGTAAAAAATCAATAAAATATATTTTAAAAAAATAAATAAATTGGGTAAATAAGTTTTAGTTAATAATGATTATGATAAGACCTGTATTTAAGGATAAGCCAAACTGAATAAATGACAACTCTGCCACATAAGATTAATAAATGACCCATTTCCTTTAAATATCTCTTTGTTGCCAATGAAAAATAAAACCTGCCAAAACGGCAATATTCTACTATGAAGTAGTACATCCTTATAGGGCTGTATATACAAAATACTGAATTCCTGTTAACAGAGGAGATATTTACGAGGTTTATAATCAAATAGCATTTTTACAAAGTGCTAAGTCAGATTAATGTGGTAGTATGAAAACTACCCCCAAATTCAGCACTAACGTTTTTGTGTAACAGTCTCAGGCATATATTCTTACCATGTATCACATCGGGCAATCTACTTGCATGAAGGCTGTGAAACTGGTTGCTTTAACTCAGGGGTGGGGAACCTTTTTTCTGCCAATGGCCATTTGGATATTTGTAACATCATTCGAGGGCCTTACAAAATTATCAACATAAAAATTAGCCTGCTATATTTGGCCAAACATTTAATTAACTCACCCCGAACGCCTTGGCAGAGCCAAACCCAATGATTTTGCAGGCCTTATATGGCCCTCGGGCCAGACGTTCCCCACCCCTGCTAACCCTGGTGGTTTAATGCTGGCACTTCATGAGTGCTGCTCCACAGCGAGGTATCACATCTAGACTATATTTAAATAAAGCACTTTTGTCTTTAAGAAAACAGAATTCTCATATCTATCTATCTTGAGTGGATGGTAAGAGTAATTTATTTCAGAAATACTGTAGTGCATGTAAAAGAATAAGCCACAATTTAATTAGATTTTAAATTACATTTTTATTCCACTTAAAGAGATTAAATGGAGCAAGTACAGCTCTGTTTTTCTTCATTAACAGGGCTCCTGGACCTACCTTGCCTCTGGAAAAGGCTTGCAATACCTAAACATGTATTACCTGATTGTTTTCACAGCTTCTTCATCTCTTTCCACATCGAGATCAGATGGATCGAGGAAGAACATTTTATCTTCTGGGGGAGATGGTTCTTCCATGTCATCCAAACCCCTACTACCATCACTGTTCATGTCACTACTGTCAATATCCATTGGTATATCTGACTCTGTTCCCAGACTGGAAGGTTCTGGCAAAATTTTAAATGAATTACAGAGTTTTATACTATGGGATATCAACACATCCAAACAGAAACAATATATTAAATGTGGAAAAAATGTTTTAAAACTCTTTAAATAATCAGTAAAATTTGAAAGATGCTCAAATTAATTAGTATATAGATAATAAACATACATTAAAATAAATATAAATAGTATTTCATATCCAGTTGTAAAAGTGAAAAAAATACATGAAAAGATTTCAGTAATGTAGAAAAATTAGAAAATCGATCATGCTCTGTCAATGATGTAAACAGCAAGCTTAGAAAACATGCCTTATGAGAAAATGTTAAACTCTTAAGGAGCTGTAAAATTTCATCCCTTCTCTTTTCCTCCTACAAAACCACTTATATTCAATTTTTACCAGTCATGGAAATGTTAAAGAAAAGTTATGCTGAAAGTTTAGAGTCATTACTCCTTCCTTCCAAAAATGGTAATCACTTTATTAATAGTCTTGAAAAGAGGGGAAAAAAAAGGCAAAAAAGGGGAAATGCCTAGCTAATGATTACTTGATGGAGAAAGAGATAGTGAGGCTGTACAATGTGTTCTAATAACTATGGACTAAGAAGCCAGACCATATGGATTCAAATCCCAACTCTACCACTTACTGGCTGTATTTCATGGGCAAATCATTTAATATCTTTGTGCCTAAATTAACTCATTTGTAAATATTTAACATCAAGGGTTGTTCTTAAGTTTAAATTTCAATGTGTAAAGAGCTTAGAACAGTACCTGGCACATAGTAAGCAGTGAATAAATGTTAGAACTATGAAATAGTTCTAGGGATAACAACAGGGTTTTAAAGTAAGTCTTTTTATGTCTAAAGATGAAAGAAGATATGCAGCACTATCAGCTATATTAGACTCTAAAGTGGTAGGTGGTTAAAGGAAAGATGGGAAGGTATAATTACTAATAAAAGTACATCATTACTGATCTCTGAATCTTACTTGATTATTAAATCAGAAAAAAAAGTCAGTTAAAAACACAGAATAAAATATGCAAATATAACCATATACAAAGATAATAAACAAAAGACTTGTGACCTTTTCTCATCTTTTATAAAAATTAAGAAAAAGAATTTTACCTCCATTGAAGGTAACCTCTCCAAGGCAGTCTCTTGGCACTTTTGACGCACAGCGTTTATGGCAGTTGAATTTGCAATCTAAAATAACAATATTCAGCTTATTAATTTATGTAAAAAGTTAGGCAATATCAGATATGACTCAAGACTTCCTTTAAATCACTCACAAATAGAGTATTAGAAATGACAATGATGATAAAATTAAGTTTTCCTCTACTAAGAACTCAGGTCTTGGACCAAAGGTCTAGATTCAAATTCTGAGGCCAACTCTTAACAATTTAACTCCTCAGGGCTCAGTTTATCTGTAAAATAAAGTTAACATGTTGCTGGCAAGTCCATGTTTCCTTCTCTTACCTCACATTCCTTTCCAATACATGTTAGGCCTTACTTCTTAATTAATTTCTAATTATTAGGTCCTAGTGCAGAAAAGAGACTAAGATTTGACAACCAGTTATTGGGAATCAGTGAGAGCCTTCCCATACAACTTTGTAAGGAAGAACTGAGCTTCTCATGTATGAGGTCTCCCACTTATACATAACTAGAGGCCCGGTGCACGAATTTGTGCACAGGCAGTCCCTAGGCCTGGCCTGTGATTAGGGCCGTCTTCCCCTGCTGACTGCAGCCGCCCCCCCCCAACCCGCCACCCACCCCTGGTTCCCCGATCGCCATTAGGCGATCAGAGCCTGCTGGCTGGGGGGAGGGACCAAGAGGTCAGCATTCCGCCTGCTCCCTGGCCCTGCCCCGACCCGTTCCCCGTTTGCCATTGGATGATCGGAGCCTGCCGGCCAGAGAAAGAGACCAAGAGGTGGTCAGTGCGCCTCATAGTGACTGGCCATCCGAGGCTTGCCTGTGCCTCGGGCAGGCCCCGGCCGGCTGGGGGGCTGAGGGGACTGGGCGCCACCATCTTGTGGCTGTGGGTGCTGCCATCTTTGAGGGCGTGGCAATTAGCATATTCCCTCCTTATTGGTTGCGGGCGCTACCATCTTTGCAACAGCGTGAGGGTCAATTAGCGTATTACCCTTTTATTAGATAGGACGTTTCTTTCAGCCTATAAGAACTTCAGTTGATAGCATTGCAGATCACTGTCAGGTACAAGTGGCTCGATACTACTCTGTAACTCAGTGGTTCTCAAACTGTGATCCCAGACCAACAACATAAGCATCATTTGAGAACTTGTTAGAAATGCAAACTCTTGGGTCCCACTCCAGACCTACTACATCAGCAGGTCTGAGAGTGGGGGCTGAGAAATGTGTGTTTTAATAACCTCTTTAGGTGACACTAAAGTTGAAACCCACTGTTATAACTACTGTATAACACCACCTTAGAAATACATCTATCAGCAATACCTGGGTAAAAATAATTTCAAGTCCTGACTTAAAAAAGAAAAAGCCCCACAAAATTAATAATTTAGTGGATAATAAAATTTCATCATATAACACTGTCCTTTTATAAAACAGAGGTTCTCCCCCTGTGGGAGCACACTGACCACCAGGGGGCAGCTCCTGCATTGACTGTCTGCCCCCTGGAGGTCAGTGCGCACCATAGCGACCGGTTGTTCCACCATTCGGTTGGTTTGCATATTAGCCTTTTATTATATAGGATATCTAAAGTTGCCTTGCAGTTTTAACATAACAAAGTAAAAAATTAAAAGAAGTGAATAAATGAATAACTGTTCTTGGAATTGTATTTTTTCCTCAAATAACCCAGCATAAATGTTTTATATTTTCTTAGCTTGAAAAGTGAATGAAAATGATAACTATTTTACTTTTTAAGCATCTTAATTCATATTATAAAAATACTAGGCTCTGGCCAGTGTGGCTCAGTTGGTTGAGTACAGTCGGTGCACCAAAAGGTCTTGGCTTCGATTCCTGGTCAGGGCACATACCCAGGTTTTGGGTTTGATCCCCGATTGGGGTGTGTACAGGAGGCAACCAATCAATGTTTCTCTCTCGAATCGATGTTTCTCTCTCTCTCTCTCTCTCTCTCTCTGGCTCCCTTCCTCGCTTTCTAGAATCAATGAAAAAAACATATCCTTGGGTAAGGATAAAAAATAAATAATAAAAAATATAAGAATCACTGAAATTTTGGTGGTTTTTGATTGATAATCAAAATAACTAGAAATATAACCTACTACTTTCTGAAACAATATAATCACAAACATTATTCTTTTAGAGCTCTGAGAAGTTAAACTAACAATCCAGTGGCAGAGTTAACTGGTCACTTCAAAGTTCATGAACCTACATACTTATTTCAGTTCCTCTACAAAATATTGGTTTTAGAATGTATCTGTTCTGCTGAGCAGAGCAGCACTATTTTACTACCTTTTCTAAGATTATCTGCTGGCTAGAATTTGTACATCTGTTATTAATGTTCTTTCCCAAAACATTCCTTAGTGGCTGCTTGCCAATACACTTTAGTGTTGATATTTTAAAGTATTAACATACATTAAATCATATTCAAAACTAAGCTGTTGAAATAAAATTTCAACATGTAATTATGCCTGCCTGATGCTTATTAAATACTTGACAACAATTATACAACCTGTTTTCTATTTGATGCTCTCCTATGCTGTCATATTGTTACCAAGAAAATTTTCTTTTCTTACATACTTGTTAAATTTATATGCAATTATTTGATTGTGTGCTGTAAACAGGATTTATTATTGCAAAGACCTCAAACATAATGTTTATTTAGATAAAACTGATTTGTTCAATTCCACAAATACTTCTATTATATAAAAAAAGTATGGTACCAAGAACTGTTAAAATAATCACATGAAAAATAAGTACATAAGATTTTAGAAAGATTACTTGTCATATCCTGGCTTAATGACTAATAACACATTCAAACTCTCTGTTTTGGTTTTCACAGTATTGTACAGCATTGCTGAGAGATACGAGATTTTTAAAAAAGATAAAATCATTTTAGAAAACATAAAAACATTATATAATTATACAGGAAAAATTATTCCATTATTCTATTAAAACCCTGGTTCATTAACAGATGTTTTTGGAATACTATGCAAGTGTTTTGGGTTAGTATCCAAATATGGTGGCTCCTATTATAAGTGGCTTCTACTATATTCCACCTATTTTCAGGAATAGCAGTTTTTGTACCACTCTTCTAGCTACATAATTAGTAATAAAAATAACTAAACTCTTGTAGTATGTGAGTATGAATATTTAATGAAAAAAGGAAATCATTACTTTACATCTTATCTGTTTTTGGAATTAGAAAGACTTAAGCTCAAATATCAGCCTACCTGCTTACTAACTGTTCTGTACTGGCAAGTGTTAAGGAGCCATATCTTAGAGATCCAAATTCTAGTTTTCCTGTTTATATTCTAGTTTTTCTCTAGCACAGTTCCTGGTACACAGTACACATATTTCAGATAGTAGCAGTAGTTAATATGTGTATCTTCTTTCTTTCTTAAGTTAACAATTATGAGACCAATTTCTTTGCTTAATGCTTCTAAACATAAATATTTTAAACCTATATTTACTAATAAAAACAGATATAAATTTTACTTAAGAAAAGCATCCAATCCTACCTTTACATTGCATTCCTTGGCGAAAGAGGCCTTTCAGTAACCGCTTGCAATACTGACATATTGTGGGACGGGTATAAGAGTGAACAGCAAATGTGTGCGGAACTTTTACTCTGCACATTACCATCTTTTCCATCCAGATTGGGCGACCACTCCAAGAAGGAATTCTCTTACTTGGTTCTTGGTGAACATGTGACTAAAACATAAGTAATTTCCATAGGCATAAGTCAATATTAAAAAAATATATTAAGAGCTGGGTTTGACCACAAAAGTCATTTTTTTTTAAACAATACAGCCCAAACTCTAAAAATGTGGATCTCAGCAGTTTACTTTGGAAGCTTAACTGGCCAACTCTTGAAGGAAAAAAAGAGCAAAATTTCTTTGCTATTTATGATATTTTTAAAAAAGGGTATTTTCATTCTCACATACACAGATTCACTGGTTAGTTATTTTTTGCCAGGCCCACATGGCATTTTTCAAATAAAACACAAAAGCCTTAAAGTCGATTTATAACAGATGTTCAAATCCCTCCAAAAATCTTACCAAGGAATTAATCACGGGAAAAGCAAATAAATACAGAAAGTGTTATTGCTATTCATGTTAAATTACGGAACACAATGTCTGAAAATATTTCAAAACAAATTATTTTTTCAAATTTATTTTAATACTAAAATATGTGTGGAAAGATTTAATTAATGATGATATACATAATGGCAGATATAAACCTAATTAAAACAACTTTACCTCCAGTAATTATCCTTTACGAAGTTCCTTGATATTTAAAATGTTTTCCAGTTATTTACACTTTTTCTTTTTTTGAGCAAGAAAAATTAAAGGAGGAGCTGGTTAAAAATTTTTGTGTAACCTGAGGAATAAGTGGATTTTTGCAACTATAGCTCTTCCTATATATTCAAAAGAAATAATCATATTAAATTATATGTCAGTTCAATGTGGCTCATTCCATTCATTCAATGTTCATTGATTACTATAGGCCAGGCCTGATACTATGTATGGGGAAGTAAAAATGAATATAGTCCATGTTTTCAAGCACAAAATCAAATACCTAACTACTTTCTAGATGTATTACATATTTTGTTGTAGCTGCTTGCATCTTCACAGCTAAAACTGAGGTCCTGAGATCTTTCACATGCTTTCTATAACTAGTCATGTCTGTAATTCAGAAAAGTTGAGTCATTTTATATTGATATATTGAACCAACAGAAGGAAAATAAACTAGAAGAACCAAGAGACAGAGAAGTGTAAGGAAGAAATAAAAGGAGGGAGAGAAAAAGTTTTTTTGAAGAAAGTAGGAAGAAGAAAAAAGAAAAGCACAGCTGAACGGAGGAGAGCACTCTAAAAAGAATACAAATCTAGCCTCTGATATATAGTTTTTCACTAATGTGTAGCCAGAAGTTTTCTAAAATGAATTACGAAGTAGTTTAAGAAAAGTACAAAAGGAGTATTAAAATCCAAACCATACTTGTATGCTTTATGTGTCCTGCTCTAGTCTGCCCTCTCCCCACTCCACACCCCCCATACCCTTCATCCATATTGCTATGTATGGAGCACCTTTAGCAAAAGGACCATCACAGTGATTCTGCAAAGCTAACAAAGAAGCCAACAGGAACCAGAAACAGATGTTTAGGCCTTTGTTCATTCTTGGCTCCCTATTCTAGTGGTGACTCAATACTACTTCTTGCTCCTGCTTCTACCACTTTCAGTGTGTCTCAAGTTTAAAACACACAAGATGGAATAAGACTAATTTAGCTGGTCATCATCAAAGGTATTAAGATATCCCTAAAAGGAAGAATTTTCCTAACACATCCTTTCATACGCCAATAGCCAGTTAGTGATTGCCTTTTGTCAGGTCCTGCTGGGATTGGGGTATTTGGGACATGGTACAGAACACGTGTGCAAGGACTATGCCACAGCATGGAGTCTGGCACATGAGAACTTAGGAGGCTCTTACTGTGTAGCACTTGAGAGTTAATTCCTCTCTATCCTAGATTCAGATTTGAGGTTGTTTCCCTCTCCTCACTGCCATCTCCTTTATTCCTAGAGCAGCCGTGGGCAAACTACGGCCCGCGGGCCGGATCCGCCCGTCCGCGGGCCGGATCCCGCCCGTTTGAAAAGAAAAAAACTAAAAAAAAAAAAAAAAAAAAAAGACCGTACCCTTTTATGTAATGATGTTTACTTTGAATTTATATTAGTTCACACAAACACTCCATCCATGCTTTTGTTCCGGCCTTCCGGTCCAGTTTAAGAACCCATTGTGGCCCTCGAGTCAAAAAGTTTGCCCACCCCTGTCCAAGAGTGTCCTCTTTTCCCACTCTTCCTTCCCTGATTTTCCTCCCTGAGTTCTTTTACTGTACCTCCTTCCTTTTTGAGATTGCATGCATGGACTGACATTTCACTCTACAATTTCTACCTGTTCTAAAATACTCCACACAATCTAACCAATTCAAACATATACTCTACTTCTGATACACCCCTATGGAATTTTCATCTTCAGGATAAAATATAAACTAATGAATTAAAACGTAATGCCTTATTCATCTGCTCTGTCCTGTTATTTCCTAATCTAGTAATTCCATCTAAGGGTAGCTGGCAGACCAATATCATTTGTAGGACTCTTAAAAAGAACATATCTCTATCCTACAGTCCCCATTCCTAGCTAAGTTTCCTGTGCAGTTCATGTATAAAATGCACTAGCTTTGCTTTTACCAATCTTCCCCCAAGCTCTTGCATATCTTTATAACTCACTGTTCTCAGTTCCTTATGCAATAGCAGTCTTCTACTTTAAAAATCTCAAACTAGGGCTAAGCAATATAGAAATATGGGATTTTTTGGTGAAAGAATTTCAGGAGCTTTTATTCTGGTGCCTCAGTTTACAAAATATAGTGACTAGGGCATCAAGAAAACAGCCCAAAGGTTTGAGTTTAGCATTAATTTACAGAAAACCAAAGGGTTTATAGAAACAACTAAACTATGAATGGAAATCATTTTAAGTACTATGAAATGAACAAGAAAGTTATTTCTTTTTTCCCGGATGCTCTACCTTTATACTTGAGGGGTACAATATATATAAGAAAAAGCCACTGATTTAAAAATAATCAGTTCTGCCCAGCCGGTGTGGCTCAGCAGTTGAGCGTCAACCTACGAATCAGGAGGTCACGGTTTGATTCCTGGTCAGGGCACATGCCTGGGTTGTAGGCTTGATTCCCAGTAGGGGGTGTGCAGGAGGCAGCTGATCAATGATTCTCTCTCATCATTGATGTTTCTTTCTCTCCCTTCCTCTCTTATATCAATAAAAATATATATTTTTTAATTTTTAGGAAAAAAAGTTCTGGATTTAGTTCAAATAGCACTTGCTAATTTGCTCTGACTTCAGTGAAGTCACTTGACTATTCTGAGTCTCAACTGTCTCATGGTATACAGATGTACTGCTATAGTTTACTGGAATAAGGTGAGGATCAGTGGGGGCACTCATGCATTCATTCATCACTGAGTATAACTACTAAAATAAGTACCAGGTATTGTGCTGGTCATGGAAATGAGCATTGCTTTCTTTAAATAGATCATCAACTCCTTGAGAACAGTCCAGTATACAAATACTATACACACCATTAGGAGGTCTGAAAAGTGCTATGGCATTCAGAAAATAACTTCTAGGTGGTAAGGGGAAAATCAGGAAAGGTAGCTGTTGAGCTAGGCCTAGAAAAAAAAATGTAGAATATAGAACAAAGGTAGGAGGAGCAAGGATGTGTTCAGGGAATGTTGAATAGTACAGACGTCAGACACATAGAATATATAAAAGTTTTCTAGTCAGGAGTTGTGTATTAAGCTGTAATGGGATAAGGTGGTCCATATGTAATATGTAACATGAAGCAAAGTATGGAGACCAGGTGTCCGGATACTGGTCAAGAGACTAATGCAGTGAGGTCCAAGTGATAATGTGATCCCAAAGTATACAAAATGCAGTTCATTACTACTGGTAAGCCCTGTCTCCATAACACATTTTAAGCTTCTTAACTGTAAGAATCTTACCATTCTTTTGCATAAAACTTATGTTCTACAATGATGTCATATGTCCTGTACAACCTAAGGAATACCTAGTACAGTGCCGTTCTACTACCTTAGAATACGTACCTCTTCAGCTGGAAGGGCAACATACTCGGTCTGTAGAGGTCTTGGGACTGAGAGGCCAGGTCCTGGCAGAGACACATTTGACAGGCGCCTCTTTCTAACTCCACTACAGTTATTTGGAATCTTGAAGGCACAACGTTTATGATAATTTAATCCACAGCCTAAATATATTTTAAAAGGTTAAAAAAAAAATTAAGAACCCAGACAACAGGCTAAATGGAAGCTAACAAATTCAAAAACAGGAAATGTGTAAGAAGGTTTATTTAGAAAGATCAAGTTATTAGAATGGTAGTTCTTGAACTGTGGCCTCCAAGTATGGCATCACCTGAGAATTTATTAAAAATGTAAATCAGCAAGCTCTACCCTAGACCTACTGAATCAGAAGCTAACAAATCAGTCCTTGAGGTGATTCTGAAGCATGGTAAACTTTGAGAATTACCGGCTTAAAGCACTTCAACAAATTGTGGCCTGTGTACCAAATTCTTCCCAGGACATTTGAAAATTATATGAAATTCAAATTTCAGTGTTCATGAAGAATTTTATTGGAACACAGCAATATAACATGCTCAATTTTCTTTCACACTATAACAGCAGAGTTAAGTAGTTTCGAGAACATATGGCCAGCAAACCTTAAAATATTTACTCTGGCCCTTTACAAAACAATTTCATTGATCCTTCACCTTAGAGCAGTGGTTCTCAACCTTAGCTGCACATTAGAATCACCTGGGAATCTTTTTAAAATCCTGATTTCTGGGCCTCACCCTCCGGAAATTCTGTTTCTTTGTTACTAATGTTGTGGCCCCACCCCATAACAAAGAAACAGAATTTCCGGAGAATGAGGCCCAGAAATCAGAATTTGAAAAAGACTCCCAGGTGATTCTAATGTGCAGCCTAGGTTGAGAACCACTGCCTTAGAGTTTTTTAAACAGAAATCTGCACCTCATCCTATTCCCTAGCAATTCTAATTTATAGCAACTTTGTTGTTGCATGTAAAACAATGTTTTAAGAAGAGAATAAGGAAGTTAATATCATTTAGCCACTACTTAGTGCCAAGAATTTTACCCATATTACCTCATTTAACTATTCACTCTTGATGAAACCAGTCGAGTAGAATACATTTTACAGACAGAGAAATGATCCTGAGAGGTTTATTAAGTTGCCCAAGAATATGACCCAGTAAGTGGCAAAGGAAAAACCAAAGTCTAGATCTCTCCAATTCTAAACCTGGGTTACTACCTAGTCACCAACTAATTATCTTATTCTTTCCTTGATGATTAGAGAATGCAAATGTGAAATCCTATTTCAAATGATACAACATTTAGAACACATACCTTCACATTTCAGACCCTGACGTACCAGTCCCCAGAGCATCTCGCCACAATAATCACAAAAAGTAGGAGCTTTGTAAGAATGTACATAGAGAGTATGTGGACGAATCTGGAAGTCTTCTACTGTGGCCAAAGCTTTTAAAAAAGAAAAATATTAAATAAACCTTATTATACTTGCTATGAGCTTAGGAATGTTGGTCATGTTCATTTATGATGAAGTACAGAATAATTTTTTCTCTGAAAGTTTCATCTGACCATAAAAATAAAGTATTTTTAGCATTTAATATTGTGGTTTTTTAAACTCTATTTTAGGAAGTTCATCAGCTTCAGTTAATTTCAACTCCTAAAGCAGGTCCTATAGGTAGATATTTTGACCACCAAAAGCCTTTTCTCAAAGTGACAAGACTGGATTTTAAGCAGTTGTTAGGTCTATTTTAGCCAATTAGAAACAGTCTAACTTATAATACACCGAGAAATAGAATGCTAAAATAAAACCAACCAACCAAACAAATAAATAAATAAATTTGTGGAACCTGACCTCAATTTATAGCAATGTTCCTGTGAGAAATGTACTCAGTTCTAACTTAAGTTCTCAGGATATGCTCCTTGTCTGTTCTCCATGGTCCTAAGTGGTTAACAAAGAGTCTCCTTTCCCCTCTATAAGCAAATGAACAGTAGACACATCTGCCAGTAGACATCATCTCACCTACACCTGCAAGTCATTAGTATCGACAGTGGCCTGATGAAGGGCTGGATGTGAACATGACCTCCAGGGAGGACAGGGAATAAAGCTCCTCCAAAGCGAAGAGGAAGACAAGGACTAAGCAGTGTACAGATGACTGGGTTGTGGTACAGCAGATGAATGATAAATGTAGGTACTAGATGAACTGGAAGGATCAGGGACTAATAAGGAAAGGTGAAGCTCAGAGAGGATCTCAAAAACAGGCTGCAAAAATGAGCTTGAAAAGAGGAAAAACTGGTGGCAGGACTCTGGACTCTTGGCTGGCTTTCCTTTCTTTCCTTCTCTTCCTTCTCCATCTCTTCCTTCCGTCTCTTCCTTTCATGCTTTTCCTCTCTCCCTCCCTCAGTCCCTGCCAAACAAGGAGTTTTGCAAGCCTACCATATGCATTCTTTGTTCCTTTACACTCCTCACTAACAATCCTGCCCATCTGTTATTGGATGAGATCTGAAATCACAGGAGCTAAGAAACAATGAATGGCAAGAATGGGTGAAAGAGGGAAAGAAGAGATGGATGAAAGAGGGAAAATGTCCACTGAGAACAAGGAAAGGAGCATTATTTAAATCATGGAAACACCCAGCATTGCAGCTGCCTCTTCCACATCTTCATTACTTCTCTTATTTTCTTTTCTGAACCCCAATTCTTTTCTTTTATACTCTTTACAAAAATGGGAAAAGGGGAACAGAATTTTAGTGTAATTACTTTATTTCTTTGGCTCAAAGAAGAGTATATTTCTCTTCTACTTCAATTGATAACCCCCTTAGCTTGGTAACACTCAAGTAATTCAGGGCTTATTTTCCTAGTTTCTCATCTGTGATACAATCTTTCTGAAAGTAAAAATTATGTGGTAATCATTACTGAAAGAAATAAGCAACTATAGTGCAAAGACAAAGTATAATGGAGCACAGCATTTAGCTGGGAAAAAAGGGGGGAGAGGGAACAAAATAAAAGCTATTTACTTACCTGAAAGAACAACTTCTACTAGGTCTCCTTCATGTATTTCATCTGCTGAGGTAATCAGCTGCAAAATATTTTCTGAGTTCAGGTCATGGCGAAAGAGAAGAATTTTGTCATACATGCCAAAGAATCCACACTCTGGAAACTGCAGGAAAATAGTCTTATATCAGTATACACATAGCTATCTGCTTTTATAAGTAAATGTCTCAATCTTATGAAAGAATTTTAAATGTAGTTTTTAGCCTAACACTATCTATTTGCTAACAGTTCTACTAACATCTACAAGACTGATCATGTACTTAAGCATCCTGGTTAACTTTCAAGTTCAAAATAGAAAAGCAAACAAATATAATTACTGATTATCTTAAAACACACGTATCTTAGAAATATAGGATTTCTTCATTCAGTTACTGATGGAGAATATAAGTTTGAACTTTTGCTATTCTATCTTAGATAGCCAGAAACATAAGCAGTCTTTCTTGCACTCTAGAAATGAACTTCCTTTATGGTTAGATACTAGCCACATGCAGTTACTTAAATTCAATTAAAATCAATAAAATTAGAAATTTAGTTCCGCAGTCACTCTAGCCCAGGCAGTCACTCTAGCCCAGCTGTGGGCAAACTACAGCCCGCGGGCCGGATCCGGCCCGTTTGAAATGAATAAAACTATTGAAAAAAAAGACCGTACCCTTTTATGTAATGATGTTTACTTTGAATTTATATTAGTTCACACAAACACTCCATCCATGCTTTTGTTCCGACCCTCCGGTCCAGTTTAAGAACCCATTGTGGCCCTCGAGTCAAAAAGTTTGCCCATCCCTGCTCTAGCCACACTTCATGTGCCCAATAGCCACCTTAGCTACTGGCTACCATTTTGAACAGTGCAGATATAGAACACTTCCATCATCATAGTAAATTGAATAGTGCTGGTAGATCAACAATTCCCAAACACAGTCACAAAGTTCCAAAAATCCAGTATTTTTTCTATATGCATATATAGACTCTAGCATTTACCCAATATTTTCTTTCATCTATTCACTGTAATTACAAATACATGATTCATTATGGTATCTTTAAAATCAAAATAACTTTTGGTCATAGCAGGAGACTTACAGATCTGTTTATATCTGCCCTAAGCATATTATTTCAATGCGTCTACACTTTGTGACTACAGTGCTTTGATACTTTGGGGTTTAGTAAACCAAGGACTAAAATATAAAAGTATGTGTTCTAAATGTTTTTGTAGTTAGTAAAATTATTTAAGAGAAAATTTTAAGTGCTTATTTTACAAAATAACTGTGTTTAAATTTTAATTCAATTAAAAAAAAGAGACCATTTGCCTTGGGAAATGCTGCTCTAGATATTTCAGATTTCTTCAGTTAATCTTACAATTGTATGCTCTCATTTTGGCTCCTCATGAAATAGTCTTTAGTAAGCTACATAGTATGCCACTGGCCTGCACTGAATGGCCTGAAATGTGTTCCACTATCACTGCACTCAGTGCAGGGATGTTGCTGAGAATATGGTTCATCTACTTGATATGACAATTTTTCTTTGTGAGGACCAATAAAAGAAATTCCTCTGGTTGGTTTTATAATATGAACAATCTGATCATGTAACTAATCATGTTTTGTTTACTTTGCCCATAGCAAAAGCAAAGCCAAGTCTGTGGCCCACTTCTAGCATCCAGCTAGGCTGGATTCTATGGTATGTGTTTTAGGTAGAGATACCAACCTAGCTTCATCTTAGTTTCTAACCTTAATTTTCTCATTAAAAATTCTTGTATATATTTCCAAAAAAGGTGTCAAATTTTTGAATAAGTTAAATTTTAAAAATTTGAAAACAATGACTTAATTAGGAACTGAAGGGTTTACTTGTATTTTTTAAAACCTGTGTAAACAATAGAAAATACAGAATTACAATTTTTATAGCACTAATTATTTTTCCAATTATTTGTCTTACCATTAATATTTATAAAACTCCATAATATGCTTTAAACATATATTTAACGCTATAAAAATTTTTAATGGAAAAGAATGAAAAGAGAATCAAAAAATTTTTCATTAAATGATTTTAAAATTAAAATTTTATTAAATTTTTATTAAGTTCTACACCATCTAATGGAGTATAAAAACATCCCTGTAACTTGGTTGCGACAATTCTCAAGCATTAGTAAGAAAGAATTCCAGCCCAGCCAGCGTGGCTCAGTGGCTGAGGATGACCTATGAACCAGGAGGCCACAGTTTGATTCCCGGTCTGGGCACGATCCCCAATGTGGAGCATGCAGGAAGGAACCAATCAATGATGTTTCTATCTCATTGATGTTTCTATCTCTCCATCCATCTCCCCTCCTCTCTAACATCAATAAAAATGTATTTTCAAAAAAGAAAGGATTCCACATTCCATCATTATAAAAATAAAATCTCTAAAAATATTTGTATGAATAAAACTCATTTTAAAAATTCTCATTTTGCACATGGACCTGTGGTTTATACAGATAAAATAGTCCTTGTCTTCCAGAAACTTACAATGTACTAATAGGAAGACTAAAATAAACACAAACATACAACATGATAAGGGAAATATTAAACATGAAAAATGAACAAAATTCTAGAAGACGGGGTAAAGAACTTTAATTGGGAAGGTGGAATACCACTTTAATAGTGATATTTAAGTAGAATCATAACAAAAAGAGAAACAGGGTTTCCATGGAGAAAAAGTGAAAGTGCAAGTACAAGGTTAACTGGGAGAAGGTAAGTGGCTCAGTTGGTTGGAGTGCAGTCATGTACATCAAAAGGCGTGCATAAAGGGTTATGGGTTCAATTCCCAGTCAGGGCATATACCTAGGTGGTGGTGAGGTCGAGGGGGGGGGGTCAACCCCTCGTCAGGCTGCGTATGGAAGGCAACCGATTGATGTGTCTCTCTCACATCGATGTTTCTCTCTGTCTCTCCCTCTCCCTCTCCCTCCCACTCCCTCTAAAAGTCAATGGAGTCAAAACCGGTTTGGCTCGGTGGGTAGAGCGTCCGCCTGTGGACTGAAAGGTCCCCGGTTCAATTCCGGTCAAGGGCATGTACCTGGGTTGCGTGCTCATCCCCAGTAGGAGATGTGCAGGAGGCAGCTGGTCGATGTTTCTCTCTCATCGATTATTTCACAGACCTAGAACTCCAAAAATTCATCTGGAATATAAAAAGACCCTGAATAGCCGCAGCAACCCTGAGAAAGAGGAACAAAGTTGGAGGGATCACAATACCAGATATCAAGCTATATTACAAAGCCATTGTTCTCAAAACTGCCTGGTACTAGCACAAGAACAGACATATAGACCAATGGAACAAAAGAAGAAACCCAGAAACTGACCTAAACCATTATGCTCAATTAATATTTGGCAAGTGCATACAATGGAGTCAAGAAAGTCTCTTCAATAAATGGTGTTGGGGGGAAATAGGACAGATACATGCAAAAAAAATGAAACTAGACTACCAACTTACACCATACACAAAAATAAACTCAAAATGGATAAAGGACTTAAACGTAAGATAGGAAACTACAAAAATCTTAGAAGGATCCATAGGCAGCAAAATATCAGACATGCCGTAGCAATACCTGTTGGGGTCTAACCCCAGCAGGTCCAGGAGTTCCCAAAGGTATGGACGGAGTCACCGAAGAAGGAATGACACGGAGGCAGCGTTCAGTCGATCACCATTGCCAGGTTCTCTAGCCAGGTTCTCCAGCTAAGTTCTGTGTTTATTGTCTTGTTATATCTGTATTTATACCAGTTGATTTTAATCTTATCAATTCTATTCCAAAGGTTAGAGCGTTTCTTATCTCCATTCCAAGGTTACTCCATTGTTCTATCAAGCTACAAGGAAGTAACTGAAGGAGATTAAGTAAAGGTT